TCAATCCTCTTTCTCTGCCTCCCAAGTGATAAGGTTGTAGGTGCCATTGAGGATTACCTTCATTACAGGACTTTCTTTCGTTTTATGAATGAGAGAGCTTGGCTAAGGTCTCAGAATAAAGGAGTCATAATGGCCAAAGGTAACAGCGGAGAGGGATTGCTCTTCCGGGTTATCTCCCAGCTGTGCAAAATGCAAACACTGTGGATCTCTGTGAGACAACACAGTACCGGAGTTAGCAACACTGCTATGTGTGGAGCCACAATTTTTGTAAAAAGGTAGATCTCCTTTTAAGTGTTTTACAGCCAAAATAAAAAAGGAGAAACAGCAGCAAATACGAGGAGGTGACAGATATTACTCTCACTGTGGTGACATTGCAAAGGTTTGTGAAGGCTTTCAAACCTTCAGATTGCATCCATTAAACACACACAGCTTTTGTATGTCCATTTTACTCTGACAAAGCAGGAAGCAAGTAAATATGGCAGACATGTTGATGCACACTGGTAATCCCTGCACTCAGAAGGTTGGAGCAAGAGTTACATAGTAAGTTCTAGGCTGTGCTGTGCTACAGATAACTGAAAATCAAAGCATAAAATACAACCACCAAAGGGGGGGAGAAAGAAAAGAAAACTAATCCCTGAAACCCAGTTTTTATAGAGTTAACACGTTCTGGTACACATGCATACTGCCAAGACGCATTAATATACTTGATGGGTAACAGTCATTAGACAGTATATAAGCAATCAGGTTGTGCTAGACACCTTTAATATATTCACTTTTTATTTGTGCACCAAATATTTTCATTAAAAAATACCCCAGTGTTTAAGAGACAAGAGTGCACTTTTAACAAGAATTATTCAAAGTAGATGAAACAGCGGTGCACAAACACAGTTCGTTAACTGTATACAGCTAGACCAATTTGAAGGGAACAATTGCCTTTTCATACCTGATTATGATCAGATTCTATTTTAACACAAATCTCTGACTATAAAATTGCACTTGGATTTCACAAGCAAGTGAAAGTCTCAAGTCTTAAATTCCATCCTGGCGAGCCAGAGGATTCCACTGAGCTGCTCACATCTGAGATCTAGATCAAGGCAGTTGGCTGCCAGCTCTGGCTCTGGCCACATACACCCAGGGCTGAGGTCAGAGGCTGGCAAACTGTGAGACTCTTGCTGCACTCAGAATCTGCTAGACGGACTTGCTTTTCCCTCGGATATCGGTAATCCGAGCTTGGAGGCAACAAGGTGGTGGTGCTGGCGAGATTGTGAAGTTTACACAGGGCAGCTAGCAGAACAAGAGACAGGTTGTTCTGCGAGAGCCCGGGTCCTCTGTATGGTGTTGATGAACGGGGGTGGAGAAGCAGGACTGCGGGTCCACACCATCATCAGTACCATTGAAAAGATCTCAAGATAATGAAGGCAAGAAACAGAAGAAGGGAAAATGGGTCACAAAGCAGACAGGAGGATGAGAATGGACCCTAAGTTCACAGATCAGGGAGGCACAACAGTATGGTGCCATGAGCCATGAGGGATCACGGGTGATCCTAAAGAATCCAACCCCATGCTTAAGAAGGAAGACTGAGGAAGTTTAAACCAAGGAAGGAGCTGGGGAAATGGCTGAACGGGTAAGGTGTTTCCTGACAACTGTGAGAACCTGAGTTCAACACCCCGTAACCAGGTAAAAAGCTCCCAGCACTGGGGAGATGGAGACAGGAAGACTCCAGGAACTCACCAGTCAATCATCCAGGCTTATTCTGGGACTTCAAAGCCAGCGGGAGGATGAGGTTCCTGAGGATGATACCTGGGGTTGTCCTCTGGCCTCCACATGTGAGTATATGAATGAACAGACACACACAAGACACACATAAACACACACACACACACACACACACACACACACGGGAAAGAAAAGGAAAGAGAGGGGCATGCAAAAATATGATATAATTTACCATGACTCCTTAGGTATAGGGCTTAACTTTCAAGAAAATGAGGCTTCCAGAGCCTGCAGACAGCTGACATGTACAAGTGTATACTCACATTTCGGCCCTCAGTCCACCTGCTTCAAAACTTCCTTCTCACACCGTTACCCGAGAGTCTAACACAGAGGCTTGCAAAGGCTTTCTAAGTATCAGAGACTCAAAGTTCTCAGCTTCCCGGGCCAGGAGATCCCTGTCTGTGCAGTTCAGCTCTGCACTAGTAGTTCCGAGCCCAAAGCAGTACATAATGAATGAGTGTGGCTGCCTTCCAGCAGAACCTACCCTGCCCCAGCCTGAGCTTTCTTTCTCCTTTGGGACAGCTGGCTGGTTTTGGCTCCTGTTCACACTCCACCAAACCACAGCCTAGAACAAAGAGCACGGTTTCTTGACAGGCTCAGCTCTAGATTCAAATCATAAATCAGCTGCTCTGGCGCTTGTCTCCTTTATTTTATTGTATAGCAAATATAATATCCACTTTAGAGCCAGCAAGATGGCGAAATGGCTCAGTAGGTAAAGACGCTTGTGCTCCAAACCGGGTGACCTGAGTTTGATTCTCAGAACCCAGCGGAACAAGAGAAGCTACTCTATAGAGTTCTGCTCTAGCCTTGACGTTGTTCTCATAGGACACAGCCCCCATCATATACATATACAGAATAATAATAACAACATAAAATAACAAAAAACATTTTACAAAAGATTCCTCGCCATTCACTTTATAACTTTCAGTACACGGACCTGCAAGTGTCATGCCTCCAGGGAAAGCAATTAATCACACAGAGTATCCTCATTTCTGAAATGGCATTGAAAACAATAGCTTCCAGAAGGTTCTACCATATAAGCAATGTTGAAAATGTAATGTAATTCTTCCCTTACACCAATATGTGTGCCATCACATGTGTTGAATGAGCAGATGATGTGGTGTGAGGATTCAATGACACTAACAGCCTCAGCCCCAACCCCCCCCCCCACACACACACAGTGCATGCATGCACATCTGTTGACTCCATGTGTGTGGAAACCACCCCAGACAAGGCAAGTGCTCATCAAAGAACTGTTTGTCCAATGTTGAACATGAAAACACTCTCCCAAAGAACCAGCTCTCTACAAGAGCTAAGCAGTGGGCTGGGCTCCCCAGCACTTTGTAATCCACTCTCTATCCATTTGTCTCCTAGTAGGAGCAAGGAAGCCTCTTGAACTAGCTCAGGGATTATGAAGTGCTATTAACTGTTTGCCAGACTCCAGTCACCTCAGTCAGAGAAACAGGACTGCAGTTGGGCCTCAAGATGAGCGGGCTGGGGTACTTAGGGTTTGGTTTCCATGGAGAATGGGTCCTCCATGGTGGGATGAGTAAGGGGCAGCAGGCTGTCTGATAAGCTGGGCAGATGGCTCGTTTGCATTGGGTTGGGGGATCAGGAGAACACTTCTCATGGGCAGCTCCTCTTGGACAGTTTGGACAAGATTATGTCTTTGGCCAAAGATGGTCAGTATATTTGGGAGCCGTCAGACACTCGGCCACCCTGTATGAAGGCACTGTTTACACTCAGTCATGCCCTAGTTGGTCCTTGGTTAGTGCCAGCCCCCTTGTGTGTCTCATCAGCGAGCCACATCTTTAGCCAAGATGGCAACAGCCCAAGCCAGGAGGAGGGAGCATGACGGCTCCAGAGGCAATAAGCAAAATCCTCTCAGAGTTGCAGTGTGTGGATCAGGTCTCAATGTCACCAGCCTGAGGTGATATTCTTGGTCATGGTGTCAGAACAAGGGTGGAGGCAGGCAACGTTCTCTTAGAACAACATAAATGAACACTCATGTTCCCTGGCTCCAGAACAGATGAGCCAATGTCTGCCTCTAGCCATGCAAACTGGGTCCAAATGGAGTCAGTGGAGATCGGCTGAGGACAGCCAGATGTAGGCTTTGGCTTTAGGGCTTTGGTCTGCTTGGCTGACACATCTGTTTCCCAGCCATGGCTGATTTTGATTTGGTTGTGGTTGTGCTTTTACTTTTTGAAGGAGTAGAGGCTAAAGCTGCCCTCTGAGGTTAAAGAAAGAGCTCTCTATGCGTGCATATAAGTGTTCATGCATGTATGTACCTGTGTGGACATGTTTATGTGTACATATGTATAGATATATGCATCTCTCTCTCTCTCTCTCTCTCTCTCTCTCTCTCTCTCTCTGTGTGTGTGTGTGTGTGTGTGTGTGTGTGTGCATGTGTGGGTATGCGTGTGTTTATCTAGAGCCACTGATACATACAAACATTGACCCACATGGTAGGGGTTACAGTTTTATTGACAGGTATATCTAAGATCCAAGAGGTCAGCTGATAATGCACAATGAGACTGCTCTTTCATTTCTCGACTGCTCCGACCCGAATAATCACATAGTAACTGTATTAATTACATCACTGCTTGGCCTACAGCTTAGGCACATTCCTGGCTAACTCTTATATCTTAAATTAACCCATTTCTATTAGTCTGTGTATCACCACGAGGCTGTGGCCTACTGGTAAGGTTCCTTCAGCAGCAACATGACGTCTCCTTAACTCTGCCTACTTTCTTTCTATATCTCTGTTTGAATTTCCTGCCTGGTTTTCCTCTGCGAAGCCTACAAAGACCTTCCCTGAGAGGTGCGTGCTGTCTAGCAAGAGTGGAAAAAACGTCTATCTGCTGGCTGCTTGGAATACAGCTATCTGATATATGGGGCAGACATTATTAAGCCTACTTTGGTAGTAAAAAAAACTGACTCAGAAAAAGAAATAAATTTCTTTCTTGATACATTGGGGATTCTGAAAGGAGGAGGGCCAACAAAAAAGAGAACTACCTTTCCCACGTTAAATCACCCCCCTTCTCCTACGCACAGCGTGAGAATTCTTTTATTTTCGTGTGTCTCTCGTCAGCCCATTGGTATTTCTTCTTTGGTGAATTTGTTTTAAAAGGAAACATTACCCGTACGTTGGAAGGAAAACTAGTCTAATTTACCATAAATGGGATGCAACCAGGAAAATACACACGGAGCTCTTAATGTCTTTAAAGTTTGCTCCTGCTGTGCGTAAACTCGCCTGGGAGTCACCGGCTTCCACCCAACACTCCGGGAAAGGCTGCAGAGGAGAAGTGGAGTCTTGAGCTTGACCTGGCTGGAGGAGAAAGAGGGAGCCAGGACAAGAAGGAGCATCCAGGATGGGGTGCATGGCTTGTGCAAAGGCATGGAGGTGAGTGGATGGAGAACACAGCTTAAACTGAAGGGCGGAGGGAGGCTATCTACGCAACTCTTTGCCACAGACATTGAGTTTCATGCTGGGACTTATCTTGCTGGAGTGGGGAGTACAGTTATTTTAAAAGCAAGAACAGAAATGGCAGTGTTTGAGTCACCTCCAGAAATCCAGGGGCTCAGACACCAACAGCATACCCCAGAAGTTTCCAGCTCCATTGTCTGACTCCGTTTTTTTTTTCCAGCAAGAAAAATACAACAATCAAATTTCCTGGAAAATTGTACATTATGAGTGGGTGTCCAGTGTTGAGAGGAGATTAACAGAGAGAAAAAAAGATCGGTGGCCAAAGGCAATCACGTGGTGCTGACACTATAGCCCCATGGCATGATGTGTGCTTGTGTATGTGGTGTGTGTGTGTGTGTTTGTATACTCAGATATGGAGGCCATCAGACAACCCACACATGCACACAAGTGAACACACACACACACACACACACACACACACACACACACACACACACATACATCTTCTTGGGTTACCCTAGGATATCAGAAAGATCCAAAGACCTTTTAAAGGGTCAGGGCAACTCTAGTCTCTGTAGATTCTATAGTGAATGCTGACCCAGATAAGTCGACAGTCACCCACCCCAAGGGGGCTTCTTTTAGCTCTCTGCATTATGGGCAGTGCTGCCTGGATCTGAGACCTTAACCGTATCGGGCCAGCTCAGGAAGCATGTGCATTTGTGTCGACGACAGGCCTTGCAGCTTTCCCTGCAGGAAAAGTGAGTGGCAGATTTGTTAACAATCGCTTAGGGGAGAAAAGGAGTCTATTCTGCATCTGTGTTGTCTAGGAGCAGCCATTATGGAATTTTAGAAGGTCATGTGTAATGTACTGAAGCTGGGATAAAAATTAATATTCAGCCCCACAAGGGCTCACAAACGCCCCTCCCCTCACAAAGAAAAGGGAACGACAAAGCGGGTTTTCCTTTGCAGAGCCGGTGAGTGCTGTTTGTATCCACAGCCAGGAGAAGACAGTGGCCTGTGAAGACCTGTAACAGGGACTTCCTTGAGCTAACAGGGAGCTATTTTGCTGGAAAGCTGAGGTGCAAGATTCTGCATTGTCAAGCCGAGAGACGCGCCACCCCTGCTTCCAGGGAGGCAGAGAGAAGCCTCCACAGGACCTCTGGTAACACACAGGAGATCATGAGATCCTGGGGTCAAGGTCAACCGAGAGAGAGAGAGAGAGAGAGAGAGAGAGAGAGAGAGAGAGAAAGAAAGAAAGAAAGAAAGAAAGAAAGAAAGAAAGAAAGGAAGGAAGAAAGGAAGAAAGAAAGAGGCTAGGCTTGCTTTAGATGCGCATGTTCTTGACAAGCTCACAGCACATGACAAAGACTCATGTTTCCAAGGACTATCCCTTGCTCGCTCCAGACCTGCATGTACACTTCTGACCTAGTTCCTGACTCAGACTTCCCTGCCCTCACATGGCACATGTCGGAGTTCTTACCTATCCTGTCTATCCCACCTCTCTTTGAGGTAATATCGCCAAGGCTGACCTTGAACTCACTATGTAGATGAGAACAGTTTTGAACTCCTGGTCCTCTTGTCTCCTTGCCCCAACACTTTGGGTTTCAGGCAAGTATCACTCCACGCGGCTTTATGCAGAGCTGGAGCTCAAACCCAGAGCTTCAGGCACAACTGGCAAGCACGCTACCTACATTCTGCTTTAGTGCCCCTTGAATATGTCCCTTCCTCTTTTTTACTCAACATCCCTCTCACCCATCATCACAGTTCTTCTCAATGTTCTCCTTAGGTCCCTTCCACCTCCAAACCCACTACAACCCATCCCCACACAGCGGGAGACGGATCTCAAGTTGATCTCCTAGTGTGTGATACTCCTGCTCAGACACCTTCAGTGGCTCTGTACCACCACAGGAGGATTTGGGGTTCCTTGATAGGGGTCTTTAGTCCCTGGGCCTTTTCTTCCTGCACTGGCCACCTCACCTGCTAATCCCTGGTCCTTGCCTTGTGCTTCCGAGCTGTTGTTATCTCCTGTGGTTTCCTGTTTGTGCTCGCGACCCACCTCTGTTGCTCGGGAACAGCTCTGTCTATATGGAAGGATCTGCTCTGATCCTGGCCTAATTCTCACTCAGCCTTTGGACGATGTTGTGAACAGCTGCTTCCCTAGAGAGCTGGCCCAGGCGTTCTGCTGGGAGCGCTAGATACTGTCACAGAAGGGATAGCACTCCACAGATAAAAGCATCCACAGGCCCTTCTCATAGGCTGGACTGTGGCTGAGTGACAGAGCACTTGCTGAGTCTGCTCAAAGTGGCCAGGTTACTTTCTCCACATGGCAACGCCCACCTATCTACTAAAGATTCAGCTGTAAACAGGCAAGAAAACTGGAGGGCAGTGAGAGGGATCAGTGGGTAAAAGATCTTGCCACCCCATGACATTAGCCTGAGAACCTGAGTTCAAACCTTGGGATCCACATAAAGGTGGAAGAAGAGAACCAATCTTACTGGATTGTCCTCTGACCTCCACACATGTGCTCTGGCACCCAGTCCAACACCAATAATAATAATAATATTAATAATAATAATAATCATTATTATTATTATTATTATTTTCAAAAATAAAAAGTGAGTGGCGGAGAAAGCTCAATGCATACGGCCCTGCACACGGTCACTCTCTGGGGACCTCCCTGCCACATCTGCACTAGTATGCCCCCCCCAGCCCTGGGGCTTGTTCAGGAAGCTGAGGTCTTAGGAGTCTATGGGGAGAGAATGCTAGTAGGGTCATTGAACTTGAACTTACAAAGGCAATTATTTTTACTAATTCTGATTAAGATGTGTCATGTCCTTTGCTTATGAATGCAACTGTGATGGTATTGACAGGTACTGAGACCTCGGCACTGATACAAGCTGCTGACATGTTCATGTCACACTACCTGGTAGCAGATGTCTCAGGTTACTGCTTACTCCTCTCACTCCTCTGACAGCAGTTAATACATCTGCTGACAAACCTAGTTATCGAGCATACTAAAACACAAGCAAGCACAGGGGTACCCACAGACTGTTGGTTTTACATGTATTCTGTAGCTGTATTTATTGTAAATGTTTCCTGTGTCTTACTATGTATCCACTTTTATTTTGGAATATTATTCAGAGATGGTATTGCCGATGCCAAATGGATCCTTGATAGAACAGAGGTGCCAATAACCTGCTCTAGACTATAGGCTCCTTGCAGATCAAGTATGGGCTCATGCATATCTTAATTCTGGTATCTAAAGCACTGGTTGGTGTGTGCTACGGATTTCCAAAGAATGAATTAAGGTAGTCTGGCTGCCTATCAGAGGAAGTAGTCTATCTACATACTTACATATTTATCATCTGTTTGCTATCTATCTATCTATCTATCTATTGTCTGTCATCTAGCATTCCATCACTCAATCAATCACATAAGTATCTATGTATCACTCTGTGATCCTTCCTTCCACACAGTTCTCTATTCATCCATTATTTATAATAACACCTATCCATTCACTACCCACCCACCCATTCATTCATCTACCCATTCATCCATCCATCCACCCATCCATTCATCCATTTATCCACCCACCCATCCAATCATCCACTCATCCATCCATCCATTCACCCATCCATCCAATCATCTACTCATCCATCCATCCATCCATCCATCCATCCATCCATCCATCCACCCACCCAACCAATCATCCATCCAATCATCCACTCATCCATTCATCCACCCACCCATCCATCTAATCATCCATCCATCCATCCACTCATCCATCCATCCATCCATTCATCTATCCATCCAATCATCCACCCATCCACCCATCCATCCACCCACCCACCCACCCACCCATCCACCCATTCATCCACCCACATATCCATCCATTCATCCATCCATCCATCCATCCATCCATCCATCCATCCATCCATCCATCCATCATTCAACTATCCACCATCTAACATCCAATATCCACATCTCCTACTGTCCATCCACTTACCATTCATTTCTCCACCCATTACTCTATCATCCATTCTGCTTTCCATCCGTCCATGCACTAACCATATACCCTTTGTCTCATCCAATCCACAGCTCTAACTAACACCACCTCTATTGTCAAACTGCTGGCTCAGCTCAGCAGTTCATTTGGGTACTTGGAAAAGGGAAAACGTAACTCAGTGTAGAAATAGGTGGCATTATTCTCTTATGTGGCCTTGGGCATGATTTCCCACATGCCTGTGGCTTTGTTGTCTCCCAGAGTACTAGCATAGAGTCCTGTCTCCAGCTGTCATACCACAGGCTGGGCCATGAGCCCAGGCATAGCCCTGAGCCTGTGCCCAGACCGTTGACTCCCCCAAAGAATCCATTGATTTCTTGCTTTTAAAATAACACAGAGTGGTTGAGTCTCAAAGGATAGTCGTGGCTATTACTAAATCCACCCACTGTGCCATGGTGGCCGAGTTCTGCTGAGAACTGGAGCTTGCTCTCAGTATAACCTTGGGTGACTTACTTAGCTCTCTCCCCTCAGTTTCCTTTTTCTTTACAAGCTGGAGGGCAGCCACACTGTCTCACAGGGGTTTCTGGAACCTTCTTAGAAAAGAGATTGAGTTTATTCTTGTGAAGAACTAAGCATGATGGTCTGCACATAGTTCAGGGTTCAAGCAGTCAGAGCCATTACTTGTTTCCTTTGCTTCAAGAGGGCAGAGAATTGAAGTGGGACTTGGAATCTCGGAAAGGAAACGAGAAACCAGCAAATACCTGTTTTGGCAAATGCTTCAATCCCTTACCCCAGTATTTGTCAAGAACAGCACACATTAACAATTGCCCATGCTTTTGAAATAGAAAACAGGAAATCACTTAAGTGCTCACAGATCTGGAGGAGCCTCATGCAGGACAAGTCAGTTTCCCTTAACATCATTTAAAACACGCGCTCTCTGGGCTGGTGAAATCTGGTCACTTATGCTACGGATGTCAGAATGACTAACAGCTGTGTTGAAAACAGGAAAACGAAAAAGAGCCACCTACATATCTAACAACAGGAAATCAACTCACCAGCAAAGGAACAGCTCGTGCATTCAACTGATATTTATCCAGCAGTTTCTATGTACCTGATACCAAGCCAGGTGCTAGAAATGGGACTGGAGAAAATAGAATCCTAATAACCAGGAAGATTAACATGGGCTGATATAAAAGTGAGGATAGAGAAGCAGGAAGTACAGTCATTATACAATATGGGTCATTAGATTCTGTTTCATGGAAATAAACAAATGCCTGTCACCAGACACACACACACACACACACACACACACACACACACACACACACGGTACACGCACACACAAAGGACAGATGATAGCTATGAACAGCAGTTACCTGAAGAATGGAGCAAGGGTCTATGGATTTCACTTGACTTGATAAGCCTTCATATGGTTTCATTTTGCCTTGATTTACCAGGTGCTTGAATTGCTTCAGCACACCATCCAGTGGGTTCTACTCTCAGATCACATGGACAATGCAGCAGTTCTCCGGCTTCCACTGCTAACACTGGCGCAAACCACTGTGGCGTCCCTGTGGCTCTTGCCACAGCCTCCACTTCTAACCATGACAGATCATTTGCAGCCGGGAGCCACCAATTCCAGGGCTTCCCAATGAAATGTGGAAGCAAATTCATTTCGAAATTCAACAGCGGCCCTACTGAGCTGTCTCTCTGCTCCAGCTTCACCACACTCAGAGTGCCCGAACTCAGGACTTTGCACCAAATGCCCCTATTTATGCAGCTGTGAGATGTGCTCATCTGCTTGCTCTCTGTCCAAATGCTGCTGCATGGACTTGTCCTGTCACATTAAAGGGGGACTCTTTCCCTTACTTAGCTAACTTGTCCAGAGTCTTCTGCCTGATGTACTTTCTATTGCACTTACCCTACTGACATAACCACAATTCTCACTTACTGCCCTTCAGTGTGTGAGCTTGGGAGGTCAGGACCTCAGTGATAACTCCACTGCTTTGACTCCAGACTCTGACAACAGTGTTTTGGGCACGCACAGTAGACTCCCAATAAATATTCAGTGCATGAGGAGTGTGATAATGATATAGTCATAGAGTATAGCTATGATGACTGCGACCATGAAATCCAAATTGAGATAGGACCCACAAGTCCCCAAAGGCAAATTTGCAAAAATAGAAAATAAAAACAAACCACATTTGCAGCCAACCCAACTCCCCTCAGAAAACACTCTAGGTGGAACCCCCAGAGGCTGCCAGAACCTACAGTGGCCTGTTGTCCTAAACTGATGCTCTATACACAGGCTTCTTTCACCGAATCCAGGGACTGATGCCAGTGAGGTCTGAACACGTCATAGTGTCGGGCCCCAAAGCCACAGGCTATTTCTGGCGGTGCCAGGGGGAGCCCACACCCTACTGAGACCGCCTAGCCAAACAGATCTGAAACCCCAGTCAATGTCTTCACTGTAGACTTCAGGGATGCAGTGCTACGTTGTGTTTGGGGTTTAGCTTGATGCCTCCTGGAGAGTAGATACCGGGACTGGGAGGTCCTACTTCCCCAAGCAGAAGCTGGAGCCCTTGGCTGTGGTATAAAGACCTGTGACCATGCCTTGCTATTTTATAAATGTAAAGAACAGTAGAAGCCTTTTGCTCGGCAAATCAGTGCATGAGGGAGAGGCTCAGTGACGTGTTTAGCACAAGTTCGTGTGAGGTCATTTAGGAACAAAAACTGAACGCCTGATCAGTGGCTTCACCCTGCGTCACCAGCAGAGAATCGGTGGGGTCATAGGTCATGGATTTTAGCCTTTTCACACACTCCTTGTTTTAGCAGGTAGTCCTCAGCCAGGGATGACTTATCCCCCAGGACCATGTGGCTAAGTAAGAAGACATTCTTAACTGTCAGATTGTAAGGGTGTGTCGCTGGCAGTTCCTGGGTAACCCGGGATTCTGCTGAATGCCCTACAGTGCAGATGGAAGTGAAGAATGAGTCTTTCTACAGTGTCAGGGCACCACAGTTGAGCAGCCATGGATGAGTCAAGGTGGAGGGGGGCGGAGATCAGGGCACACCTGGAGCCCAAGGGCACAGTGCAGCTGCAGGCAGAAGAGCAGAAAAGCAGGGTTAAGATCAGGTCACCTGGTAGAGGAGTGCTTGCCTGTTATGGACGAAGGTCTATGTTCTATCCTTAGTACTGGCTAAACTCTGGAATGATGGAGTGCATCTAAAACACCAGCATTCAGGAGGTGAAGGCAGGGGAATCGGAAACTCAAGGACTATCCCTGGCTACTTACTGAGTTCTAGGCCACCCCGAAATACATGGGACCCCCTTGACAGAACTTAATAAATAATTAAAGTAAGTGAAATGGACCATGTTGGTCCAGCCTCCACCTGAGACTTACTGAGCTGCCATCTAATGAAGGTGAGTAGTTGTGACCTCATCCATTGTCTGGCTATGTCTGGGCACACTCAGGAGAGGTGACAGAGGGTGACAGTGGGGACTGTGAGAGGACTGTATGCAAGGGGTTTGCGGGGGCTCATTGTGGTTCATCCATCACTACCAACTCCCCTCCAGATGGCCTAAAGACAGGCGGGACCCATATGCAGCCAGAGAAGGCCTTTGAATCACTTTGAACAGTGCCCATGAAATGAGAAGGTGTTTCCTGGCCCATCGCTGGTGCCTATTGGTATTTGATTCAGTACCTGGATACTTCCAGCAAGCATCTCAGAACCATTTAGAGCACTTGAAGCTTTTTCGTCCAGCACTGAGCAGACTCTGGGAAAGCTCCTCAGTGTTACCCATCTGTTACATAGGCTAGCAACTCACTTCCGTTCCTCCTGTTCCAGCCTCCCTGCTCACCCACTAACGGCAAAACAAGAGCTACTAGGTCTCTCAAAAAGCAGAATTGGAATTGCAATTAATAAAATACTCCTTTTCAGAAAGTCTGAAGCCACAGGAAGGGCTGCAATGTACCAGAGAAATGTCTGGGACCCTCCCAAGAGCTCTCAAAGCCACAGAGAGCGGTGGTGGCACATTTGTGAAATCAGATTTGAGAGTCAGGGCAGTTAGCGCTTCCTGAGGTGTGACAGAACAGGAAAAGAATGGTTTTCATGGTCTTTGCTGGCTAGAAGAAACGTCTGGTGTGTCTGTCTGTCTGCTACAGACCCAAAGAAAGAATCTGAAGGCTCAGACCTTTCCCAGACCTGAGAGACCTTTCTCTCAGTCTTCCCTGAAGAAAGAAACACTTGAATTATGAGAGACAGAAGAACGTGAGGCAGTGACAGGGCTATTGTCCTATGCCCCAGGCTTCACTCCTCATATGTTTGAGTCCTCAGATATTAACCTGTTTGCTGTTTGGCTCAGTTACAGGGGAAGACTGTCACAAGATGACAGCCACTATCCTCTCGACAAAAACATTACACAGCCCAGACTCTTTCCCCAGATCCCTGCCTGCCCTTTCTTCTCTTCAGACATCCTCCCTCCACACAAAGACCCCTTGTTACATCAAAACACAGCCTTAGATGGTGGTGACTCAGCTTGGAGAGCTCCTCCAACAGCGGTACTGGGTCACCAAAGGGGTAGCCCCACCACCACCCCAAAAAAAGGTGACACTGCTTTCCCAGGGTATGATAAGGGACCACAGGAGGAACTGACAGTCAGTTCCAGTTTTACAAAGGAAACTGGCAAGGAGCGTGCTCCAAGGCAGGCTAGACCTGACAGGTGGCACCACTCTGGTGCTGGAGATGGAGGAGGAAAGGCAGAGGAGCTCCGGCTATGTGATGGATGTCCACAGGTGGCAGAGCTCCACAGGGGCACAGCCATGCATGGAAAATGATCACACTGCATTGCCTGCCTGCCTCCTGCCTCCCACGCCTGCTTCTCTTAGCCAGGGCAGTGACAGTCTTTATTGACGACAAGCGCCAAGGTCAGCCTCTTGGGAGACTGGAGGGAGGTGGACAGTAGGTCTAATGAAGATGAGGAGGGGCCACCCATCACATTTCATCTCTCTGCTGTCCAACGTGAAGACAGTCAAGGACACGTGAAGATGCCAGAGTGGAGCTGCCAACCGCCTCCCAGTGTCCACCCTCTGGTTTTAGAACTTGTGGCTCTCACCTGACTGCCCCAAGGCCTCTGGGTAAGTCTGAATTGAGCTGTACTGCTGGGTTGCTGGGACCAGGAGAGTTGTCCAGTCACTCTGGGCCACAGTTTTCTCACTCAAAGTGGGAGCTATGATAAGATTGTCTGAGAGAGAGGCTGACTTGAGGCTGCTCTGCCACTCAAGAGTTCTCATAGGCCGGGACTCAGTGTCTATCCCCACAAAGGACTGTGGGCATGATTAGAAAAGGCTACGCGTGCACAGTGCTTAGCAAAGTCCTAGGCATGTAAACCTTGCAACGACTATCAACAGTAAGCGGCCTCACTCAGGTCCTCTCTGGCCCGCCTAGGAATGTTTATATCTCCATGCACCTGACTGTCCTCCTGCTGTTGATTTATACGAAAGGCATTTTCATGGGTGAATTATCCTGGCAACCAGGACCTACAAACCTAGCTTTAATGTTCTATCTCTGGAACATTCTCTTAAGCTCCCAAATGTGTGCAGCTCTACTTGAAAACCCCATGGAGCTGACAGCCCAAGCCTCACAGACCTTGGCACATGACAGACTTATGCCAGATGTCAGTGGGGCCTCCTGATGCTGTGAGTCAGGGCAAACACAGCAATACATCTTGTCCCTAAGCTGGCAGTAGCCAAGGTTTCCGCCTCAGTGTTCAAAGTCCATGGGGCTCTTTGAGTGCAGACACTGTCTGCTGGCAGAAAATCTCTATTCTTCCTACTAGATATCGACACCAATCTACACTTCTATATACTTGATTTAGTCTATTTCCATAAGAACATATGATCTATACCTAATGCACAGCCGCATCTCTAGCTCACCTACTTCAGATCAGTCAGTATCGACACCGTCTGTATCCCTACCATATGGAAACCACACTGCACTAATTACTACTTCTACAAAATCTGCATCTTTACTTCACTGCAGTATCTTAGCAACATGGCAGTGAGGACAATAGGGCTTCCCCTCACTTGGCTGTGGTTCCGGACTTATCACTGGTATAATGTTGGGCTTCAGTTGGTTCATCTGCAGGGTGGGGTTAAAAGTCATACCTGTCTCGCGGATTCTATCTCCAGACAAATTCAAGCTAAACTGCTAAATTCAAATCCTGTTTCGTTTTGGGCAAATAATGGAGACTCCTCATACCTCAGTTTCTCATCTGTGAAAGGGGAGAGACAGCAACACGCTGCACACAGGACAATGATAAAATGTGAGTGATGGAGTCCACGCCAAAAACTTTCTAAGTTTGAGTGAGGGCTTGGTAAATACTAGCTAAAAGTATGAGGTTGCTACGTACACATAATGTACAGGTACCATCTCAAAGGAAACACACTCACTGGTTATTGTTGGCATATAAGGGCTTAATACATGCTCACTGGAAGTACTAGCTGCTAAGTACACACAGGACACATAGTAATCATGTCCACACAGTCGTATTCAGTGGGGGTTGTTGTTATGGTTGGTGCATCTGAAATGGGCTCAACAGGCTTTTATTTTGCCAGTTCGGGTTTCCATCTTGTGTTATTCAGGGAGACTGGAATTTTCAGGAGGAGAGATCCAGCTGACCAAAGTAGGTCACTAAGAGCAGGCGTTTGAACTGCTATGGCCTCCGAACTATGCCTCTGCCTTCTGGTCTAGCATGATGTGAACAAGTTCTGCTATGTACAATACTCCTACTGCCATGAGCCCCACATCACCTGCCTTGCCTTTGGAGGCTGAGGCATCGGAAACCATAAGCTTAAAGGAG